TTGTATATTAACTTATGTATTTTTAATGTAAAATTTAATAAATATACAAATATATCTGTGAATATACTTATATCTAACAAATTAGATAATTAATTGATATAAATTTTCAATACCTAAATAAATATTAAGTATTAAAATTTTATATCTGTTACGGTTCAAATCAAGTACAAATTTGGACAATACTTAACCCATACCTACCCATGCTCACCCCTAGGTGAAAGTGAATTTAGTGTAACCCAATTTGAATAATTCTCATATTTCCCAAATGGGCGCAAGTCCGTATGGGTATCTCTCTGCACTTTCATATATGGTGTGTTTTTCATTGAGATGCACGCTGCTCATTGTGGCTCTTCTTCCCCCTTTCAGTTTGAGGAAGGGGGAAATGGAATGATATTATTGTTTTTATTTTTATTTTTTATTTTCTTCTTATCCTCTTTCTTTGTTTGATTAAATTAAAATATAAAAGAAATTAAAGGAAATAAGGAAAGGCTTATTTCCTTTTATTTAACTTTTTTATTATTTAAATATTAAATTTCTTTCTTTCCCTCCTCTCAAACCAAACAAAATTTTAATATCAAACTATTTGTCTACTTATAGTATTGCGTGGACGGGGGGATGTAATATACACATTGTTACTCTTATCTTATAAAGTGTTCCATGTATTACATTGGCATACATGTAAGGGTTTTGTCTACCTATTCTCTCTTTCACTGATATTTGGTCCCAAAGAATGGGCAATGCAGCCTTTTTATATATAAAGAATGAAGATGACCTTTGCTGCAAAAGCCAATGGATGAAAATGATGGAAATTAAAAAAAGGAATCCAAACGATGGCAGTACTCTATTATCATGCTTTGGACATAGATTAATATATATATATTTAAATTGTATAATAAAAGAGAATAATTTTTTATTAATTTCTTCATTCGTATGTCAAACAACTTAAATTTAGTATTTTTATTTTTATTTAAATAAAATTATTATTAAATTTTTAGATTGTTAACTTTGGATATAAATTCTTTAACAATATTTGTTGATAATAAATTTTCATAACATATGTGATAGTAGTTTTTTCTAACTTTTTTTTCAATTAACTGAATTTGGGAAAGATGTCGCCAACCAATCAGATTCATTTTAGTGTAAGGGAATTCATCATTGAAGTTTAGTTAAAGTAAGAACAATAAGCTTTCCCGTCTTAGCTATTAAGATTTAAGATAATAATACATAGATAATTATTTTAGAAAATTTTATAGAATGTTAAACGTGTCGATGTAAATAATATATAAAATTTATTTATAATTTTATTATGTTATTAAATATGTTAATACATATAATATTATAAATTTTAATAAATTAAAAAAATTAATAATTAAATAATATATAATATTGTATAAAAATATTGCCACTAAGTTGAATGGACACTAGAAATGGGATATGTACGGAAACAAGAATGAAAGCTGAAGGCTGTCGTTTTAGGAGTAAATTTGTTTTCCTAAAAATAGGCAGTGTGGCAGGCACACATTTTAATGGACTCATAATGGTCCATGGGCCCAAAGACATGTTCCTCTCAGTGGTCTCATCCAACACGTATCCACTTCATTGAAAGCGAGCGTGGGCCTCAAAATAAAGCAAAAAAAAAAAGAAAAAAAGAGAGAGGTTTTTCTAATATTTATTTTTAAGTATATATTAAAAGTTAAATAAATATATATTTTTGTTATAAATTTATATTAAAAAAAGTAAAATTTAAGTTTTTTAATTATTAACTATTTAATTAAATTCAATATTAATATTAAAATTAATTTCACTTTATATATATTTTTTATATATTTACCAAAAAAAATGTCCTTGTGCTCTATCTCTATCCTAAGAGATTAGAAAAACCCAAAGCATAAACTGAATTCACTTCTGTCCGTTTGAATGCTATTTTGGGCTGTGCCTTACTTCTCACTCCACGAACTGGTCCCCCTCCGCGTAATGATACAATACGTGCCCCCTTTATTCCTCACCATACCCCACCGACACCGTCTCCGGCCGCCTTGTCTCCACCGCCATGACCCCTCCCTCTTCCCTCTTCCCTCTTCCCTCTTCCTGTTGCCTTCTCTCCCCTTGCCCTCTCCGCCTCGTGATTCCAAAAGAGTACAAGTATTGTATTAATTTTCAGTTCCTTACTCTTGGAAACAGTTTTTAATTGGAAGTTGACATGTGTACGCTAGCTGCAATTCGATGAGAAAAATACTAACTGAAAATGTATTTCGAATGTTAAACTTAACTTCACCATTATTTTCGACTTGTGAAATGAAACAGTAATAAATATACGCATATGTAAGTGCATGTTTTGTGTACCTCCGTGCGCATGTCCAATTACGTCACAGATTTTGTTTTTAATTTTCTTTGGATTTAGCCTTTCAAAGTGTTCTCGAGTTATTTATTTATTTTTTACTTTGAGATTAATTTTTTTCAAATAATTTTAAAAGTGTACATTTTATATTGATTTATATGTATTTAGAAAAAATTAATTTCCTTTGATATTAATGTAAAAACTTAAACTTAATTTACGTAATAATATTTATTTATTAACAAATTTAACACTTGAATTACGTACATGATATGTTAATGAATCTCTACAAAATGACCTAAACTATCAATTACGTCGAAATCTAATATTCATAATGATCCTCTTACATGCATGATGCATGTAAATATAATCTTCCGGCCAAATAAATAAATTAATCAAATCTCAATAATGCAGGTAAACTAGTAATTAACTCTTCAATTCCATGCACGCATCTTGATAGAAGATCATCTTGATCTCCATATCCAAATCATGACACTTTGTGTTCGGTCACAATTAGTCTCTTTCAAAAGGGAGTCTCTTTATAAATGTCACTTTTCCCAGCTAACCCTATAGACTATAATTTCATCATTCATGCTAAGGTTGGATTTGGGGACAAACTTTAGATATATATCTCGGGTATAGGACTACATAGGAGTATATTCATTTATTCATTAGTGACAAAGTCAACATTGGCGCCCCATCAACAAAATCGCAATAAAATCTTGATTTTAAAGGGAGATTCCCCTTTCAATAATTGTCATCAATTGTCTCCTCCTGATCAACTTTAGGGTTTATTAAAGATAGGTCATAATCTAAAGCAATTTGCCATGACCAGTTGCCGCATAAATTCGGGCATTTGGCTTCTACAGTGCTTGCTAAATAATGTACAAAAGAAAAAAAATAAATAAATGAGGAGGAACAACACAGCTTCAATTACATTATCCAATTTTTGTTTTAATTTTGAATTATACGATAAGAAATAACTTTTCTTCATGTATTAATTTACCTCACTTCTATATCATGTGACTTACATTTAAAATCTCTCACTTATTTCTAAGAAAATGAAATTATTACTGAATCATTTAAGTTGTTATTACATCATGCAATTTTATTATTACTAATAATAATATATCCTTTGGACAAATGCTTCTTGAATATTCCACAAACCAAAAACAGAGTAGATACATATATACATACATCCATTATGCATATATATATATATATTGAAGTTGTCGACCATATATAACTATTGTTATCACTATTATATAATGAAATAAGAATGTATTTCTAAGAATCTAGAAATTATAAAAGTTGATTTGTGAAAAAAGTTTATATTTATACCAAAAGAAATTTATTTTTCATTATTTTGTTAACACTTAACGTGGTAGTTAATTACTACTGCTGACGAAAACTAATTATCTTTAAACACCTAAGGATGAAATAATAATGCACTAAAAAATGTAGAAAAAATAATGTTGTAAAAATAAACTCAGTATGTCTTTCCATACACATATATATCTATCTATATATATATATATATATAACAGCATGTCTTTAAAAAATAAATAATTACCTGGTTTTGTTACATGCTACGACACCCGATTCCTCCGGAAGACTCGAGCGCCTTGTATGGTTAAAATAGGGAAATGATTTTGAGTAAATTTTTTTTTATTATTTTTTTATTCAGTTTGACATGTTATTTAAATGATTAATTTTTTTAATTTATATAAGATCTGTGATATTGAATACATTTATTCATTTAATGACACGTAGAAGCTGTATTTAAAAATAAGATAAAAATATTGTTCTGGTAGCATCACTTGTTAAAATATTAAGGTTTTGTTAAAAATGTTTTTTGTATTTTAATTTTTATATTATTTATTATTTTAAATATATATAAAATATTAATTAAAATAATTATTAAATATATTTTTAAATATTAAAAAAATAACAATTATAATTATAAATTAATACTTTCACACTCAATCTAAGGGTCTGTTTGGTACAGCGGTTAAAATTCAGCGGATAGCGGATAGCGGGTAGCGAAAAGCGGTAGTGGGTAGCAAGTAGCAGATAGCGGTAGTGGGTAGCAAGTAGCAGGTGGCGGATAGCGGATAACGGATAACGGATAACGGATGGTGGATAACGAAAAGTGGGTAACGGATGATAAATAGCAGATTCAATAAATATAATTATTTGACTATATAAT